ACCATGACCCTCCCCCTGACCGTTCCCAACTCCCCCAGATCCCTCAGCGCTGGCTCAGCCCGACTCTTCAACCCCTCCAGGGATCCCGGGGACTCCCCCCTGCCCTGGGCAGCCCATTCCAACGCCCAACAGCCCCTTCTGCACAGAAATCCTTCCTCAGAGCCAGCCTGACCCTGCCCTGGGCAGCTTGAGGCCATTCCCTCGGGGCCTGGCGCTGGCTCCTTGGCTCCAGAGACTCATCCCCCCTCTCTGCACCCTCCAAAGTCCAGCAGCTCCGTCCTCAAACCGCTGCTTGTGTGCAACCAAACATCCAAAATGCTCCCACACAGGTTCAGAGTTTTGGGCAGCAATGCTTAGCACTGGCAACCTGCACCTGAGTCTAACTGGGATCCAAAAAAACCCAAAGCCTGACCTAAACAGTGCCCCAGACAAGTCCTAACTTGTTTGGCTTGTGTATAAAATTGCAGCTACAATCACATCCCTAGAACACATCTGCCCTTCAACGGGTTGAGGAGAACCGTGGGGTCACACAGTCCCGAGCAGATAGAAGGGCAGACTCAGCAGGGGAAGTACCAACAGCCAAAATCACCTTACAAAGCTTCAAACCTTCCTGTTTTGGGAGGAAGCCGACTACAAAGTGCTCACCACACCAGCACCGCTCTCCCCTAAAAAAAAAAAAAAAAAAAAAAAAAAAAAAAAAAAAAAAAAAAAAAAAATCAAACTCCAACAACCTACAAAGCATTTCATCTCGGTTTTGATCACAGTGTACAAGAACTCGTGACAAGGTTTTGGCCAAAACCTGTGGTCACTTGGTCTCAAACCCACGCTCCATCTACTCCTGGGGTCCCCCCTCAGCTGCAACTCCCAGCCCCTCACGCCGACACCACCTTTACACCAGGGCATGGGCAACATTTCAGGAAAACCCCTTGGTGCTGGGGCTAAACTCTGCTCCAGGTAGCAGGGACAGCTTCCCAAAGAGGGCAGCACGCTGGAGCGAGGCCAAGAGGAATTTTTCCTGCTCAGATGCAGACATGGAGAATCTACATGAATTTTTAAGTTTACAATGTGGGCTTAGGCTACAGGGAAGCACCTCGTTAGCAGTATTAATAATCACAGAGTTTTTCTAACCTACCTTTTAGACTTCTGTATGCAAAGGTGGCATTTCTTAAGCAATCTCAAAGTGGGAAATTCAGGTGCAGTGAAACTTAATATGGAACTAATTTAGAGATACACCAAACAGTTTTATAGATTTGGATACTAAGGAGAATTTCCAAAGCAGAGACTTCATGAAGGAAAAGCTTGCGCTCATCAGCTTCCCAAGAGACAACTGCAAATCCAAGACTGATTTTCAGTTAATCACAACCACCAGGATTTCCACATATTCCAGGGTTCCACTTGCACCACGGAAGGTATTTGAAAAGCCACATGAGGAAGCAAAGCAAATATTGCAATCAGATCTCTCTTTCAACACTTCTGTGGCAGAGGACTACAGTAGCACAAGTCTTGGAAGGTTTATTTTGGCTCTTTTAGGAGCAACTTTGCTTTTTTTTTATGTTCACAATAAGCTCGGCTCAGAATGCTTTTATTGTTAACAAAACGCATCAAGACTTGATTCAATATGGGAGAGGGATTAGTAGCTCTGGTTCTTGTGTGGGAAAACAATGTCTTTTTTTCCACTAGAGGTCTACAAGTACGGCAGCAAATTAATTGGAGAAACAAGCTAAACAGCGCAGACCCCAGGCAGTACAGTTACACCTTACGTAAAGAGCCCCAGTGCCTGTGAGTAATTTAGCAGTATTATGGTTTTGACAGAATTAAAAAGCAAACTTCACGTGCTTTGTGCTTCATTTCCATCACACTAAATATCAATCAGCACCCAACAGACTGAGAAAATACCCACTTGGGTGGGTGAGCACAGGAAAGCAGAGGAGGAGCAGGTGCTTCCAGTAATCCTTTTCACCCATTTTTATTCCAACTTCTGCCTCGTCCTCGGCACCTAGATCAAAACTTCTGAGCGTGCTGCTACCTAGTGCTGCTGCACTGAAATTTCTCAGGTTAAAAAAAAGAAATGCAATCCAAAATACACTCGATCAGGTCATTTCTGTATAGCACAGAGACACTTCCCCAAGCACTAACAGTGAGGACGCCGGTCAGCAATTGCTGCAATGGGTACAGAAGCATCGTGGAGGAAGAGTTACTGTGGGAAAACAATGAACCTCATGGAAGAGGGAGATCAGTTTGACACTGAATTTAAAGAATATAGGTATTCTCCAACAACAAGCCTTCTGAAATGTAGCTCCGTACGACTTTTTACAGCGCCGTCCCCAGGAAGGACTAATTTCAACAGTTTAAAAATTAATACTGTAGGTTTAATGAGTAAAGGAGGTCGAGAAGCTGCCAGTTCCCACAAGAGCCACAGACTGGCTGGAGCAGAATTCCTGCCCTGCCCTGTCAGCCTTTCCAGTGTTACTTAGCAAGGGACCCACAGCTCAACTGGTTAAACAAAGTTGAATTTTCACGCCCTGGAGCTGATGTAGCTGAAGAAGTTGCTTGCAACACAGAATTGCTTCAAACGTGGCAAGAATGCCCATGCCAGAGGCATTGCTGCCGGGCTGGGGGGTGATGTAGGTGTAAGTAAGCTCATGAACACACACACATTTGCTGTCTGCAGTGCAGACCTGAGTGTATATACAGGAACCCGCAGCATTTATCAGACTCGTGAATCCCAGAATCATCTGGGTTGGAAAAGCCCTTGCAGCTCCTCCAGCCCCACCATGACCCTCCCCCTGACCGTTCTCAACTCCCCCAGACCCCTCAGCGCTGGCTCAGCCCGACTCTTCAACCCCTCCAGGGATCCCGGGGACTCCCCCCTGCCCTGGGCAGCCCATTCCAACGCCCAACAGCCCCTTCTGCACAGAAATCCTTCCTCAGAGCCAGCCTGACCCTGCCCTGGGCAGCTTGAGGCCATTCCCTCGGGGCCTGGCGCTGGCTCCTTGGCTCCAGAGACTCATCCCCCCTCTCTGCCCCCTCCTGGCAGGGAGTTGCCGAGGGCCAGGAGGTCTCCCCTCAGCCTCCTCTGCTCCAGACTGAACCCCCCCAGTTCCCCCAGCCGCTCCCCAGCAGACCTGTGCTCCAGACCCTGCACCAGCTCCGTTGCCCTTCTCTGGCCACGCTCGAGTCATTCAACGGCCTTTTTGGGGTGAGGGGCCCAAAACTGAACCCAGGAATCGAGGGGCGGCCTCCCCAGTGCCGAGCCCAGGGCTCAGATCCCTTCCCTGGCCCTGCTGGCCACGCCAGTGCTGACACCAGCCAGGATGCCATTGCCCTCCTTGGCCCCCTGGGCACACTCTGGCCCCCCAGGTACCTCGCTGACCAGTATCAACCCCCCCAGGTACCTCGCTGACCAGTAGCTCTCCAGCCACTCCTCCCCAGGCCTGTAGCCCTGCTGGGAATTTGCTGTTGTGGCCAGAGGCACAGCAAAGCCTCCCTGGTCATTGTACAGCCAGCAGGCAACATCATACCATGCCACTGCACTTGCCAAATTGTCCAAGTAAAGACAATTTGTTTTGACAAATGGTACCTACTCACATCTGTAGTTACTGCCGCCGAGGGGCTGTGGCTGATGGGAGGTGCAGGTCCCTAACAAATGGCCAATATATAACGACTGAAAGTTACTGCTCACTATGGACACTCCAGGTAGGGAGATACAGAACACACAGAAGCAGTATAAATAAATAAAAACCTCTCTACAGGGCCCAACCACCACCAAGGCTGTGCCATTCTTGATGATGAATATATATCCTGAAACAGTCCCCCTCGTTCTAATGATTTTAGCATTAGAAACAGCTAAGAGAAAACTATTATTGCCTTCTAAGTTAAAAAAATTAATCAGCTCAGTACGTACAAATTGACAAGTAAAATATACTAGACAGTAAGCAAATGTGTATTTCCTTATGCACGGGCTAATATCCCCCTAAACCAACACAACTTTCATCTTCACTTTAAAAGAAAAAAAAAAAAAAGTCAACTCAATAAAAACCCCAGACTCCCTAACCTTACAAAGATCAGGAGAAAGCCAAGCTATTGTTTTTAGAATTAGTGTAACTTTAAAAAAAAAAAAAAAAAAAGATTCTGCACATATAAGACTTCTGCTCATTCTTGCAGAGACTTAGCAAAGATCAGCCTACCTTTTCTTGCTGGCAGGGGGTGCACTGAATATGGGGTAGACAACAGCATTTGAAGGAGTTGCTGGAAAAGAGGAGTGAAAGTACTGTGGTTTAGAATCCATTTTAGTCACAGAACACGTCAATACAGGGAGAGAGAAATGCAAACACCAATAAGACTTCAAAATGATACACAACAGTGAAATTGAACTGCATAGACAAGAGCTTTTAGAGTACTGGGAAGTTGTTGATTCTGCAGGATATAAAAATTATGTCCATGAGTGGTATCCCCACAATTATCTTCAATCCACTTAATCGACATTGATTGGGCTATTTGGTACTTTCCCCTCTAGAATGATGAAGCAGAAATTTCTGCTGCAGTAGTTTCATGTTTCCTTGGCCATTAATTGTGTTAATCAAGAACAGATTTGTCCGTTTTCTAATATTTTGCCTGCAGCAGCCTGAACATAGAGCTTCTTCATCCTCCACAAACTGGGAAGTGACGGGCTCAGCTCTGTTACAGCACACAACCTGCAAGTTGTAGGATAATTTAGCAAAGACTTTGGTAGGTAAAGCCAAGCAAATTATTAGCTGTGAATATACTTTCCCTCGAGTGTTAAAAGTTTAGGTACCAAGCTGCTTTCTGCTCTCGTATTTTGACCTCATTGACAAATAGAGACTTGCTGGGAATTACACAGCAAAAGTATATAAGCAGAAAAACATCCCCAACAGCCTGCAAAAAACATACCATGATGATGAACCAGTCTCTAGGAAGCAGGAGATAAGTGTCTCTTGTTAATATCAGTAGTGGAAAAGATGGTGAGGAGTCATGACAAAGCCACTAATAACAGTAAAAAAGCCTACGGCTTCCTAGAAATGTGGGATCTTACAGGGCCAAGGCACTTCTTGGGAAAGGCCCCAGCAGGCAAATAATGTCAGGCAATCTTTGGGAATGTGATAGCAACAGCTTTATAAACAAGTGGAAAACACAGCAAGAGGAGGAACCTTTGATACGGAGCTGGAGCTGGCAGAAAGAGAAGTGGCCCGCAGCACGGAGTGTGCCACTCCTGAGGACAAGGGGAGGCAGGGCAAGGGTGACCTGTGATTAAACAGACCTCACCACGTTCCAAAAGCAGATAAATAAGTTCCCATGTGAAGCAAGACTAAAGGGAGGGGGAAAAAAAAAAAAAAGCTCAGGAGTGCTGGCAATTTCTTCAAGAAACAGATTAAGACCAGATGTGCCAAAGAAGTGGAGTAAGAGACAAACATGGCTAAATCGTGACTTTTTCCTCTCACTGGAAACTCAGGGAAGCGCAAAGGGGGTGAAAACCAGGGGAGAGCAGAGCTGTAACACGGAGGACTGAAAGCAGAAAGGCCAGACTGCAAGATGAGCTCTGCCTGGGAAGGCCACAGTACCAGGGGAACAGCCTGTGACAAACAGCAAAGGGAAAACCCAGAAGTTTCTGATACCAAAAGAGGAGGAAACACTAAAACCCCATGACAAAACATTTAGTGCCTTTTTATCTCAGTCCTCCATAAAAGAATTAGTTGTGATGAGATCGTTAGCACACTCAAGACACAAAGGAGAGCTGGACTTCCACAGCTAAGGAAAGCTGCTGAGGGAACACTCAGATAAATTAGACCTTTTCAGACTAGCAAGGACTGAATTAACCCAGAGCTGCCTAGGCTAGAACAGCAAATGCTGCCTATTTTTATAAAGGGAAAAAATGGAGAAACCAGGAAATGAGGATAAAATAACATGACCTCAAATTCTGCAAACATACTGGCACATGTTAGTGCATACTTGGAAGATGAGACAGCAGGTAGAGACCAACACATTATTTTGCCTTAATAAAATAATATTTAAACAGCAGCTTATTTTCTTTTTATTATAATTTGTTATTTCCAAGAGGAAAAAATAATAAATATCTTAAAATCAATACAGAACTTCTAAAAATTCCCTTGTGTTAGCAGGAAAATGTGGTCTGTGTAAACCAACCATAAGAAAAGGAGCAAAGTTAACCAAGGGGGGGAAAAAAAAATAAAATCATATTTAAATAATTACTGCTAACAATTCACTGCTGAAACAGAAAGCAGAGTGGAGTTTCTTCAGTGACCATGATGCTTGTAACTTTGTACATAATAGCTAACACACAGGGGCATTTAAGAGTTTAATTTAAAAAGCATTCTTGCCTTGAAAATGGGCAGAAACAAGTAAGATTGAAATAAGGATAAGGGGAACCACAAGCTGGTGAAAAATAAGAGATAGGGATCAACCCTCTGGGCAGCAGCTGTGTGTAAAACACTTGGGTTACTGTCCACCTCAAACCAAAGGCAGCTCACAGAGTTTCCTGTGGAAATGTATGCATTCACTGCATGTGGAATATATTAATTACTCCATTCCTGCTAATTAGTGCTGGCAAGGCTCAGGTGCAGTTCTGTTTGGAAGTAGCACACCAGGCAAGGACATGGCTCAGCCTGGAGAAAAATAAATGAAAGAATCAGATGTAAAAAAAAAAAAAAAAAAAAAAAAAAAAAAAAAAAAAAAAAAAAAAAAAAGGAAAGGTGAAAGAAACAGGGTAACAGGACGGGGAGAAAAAGAACAGGAGAAAATTTAAGAAGAGGAATCAAGTAGTTTCCCAAATCTCACAGGGAATGGGCTATGGAGTAAAGCAAAGAGAAAAGACAGGTTAGACATCAGGATTAAAACCGGGTGACATATTGCTTAACACTAAACCAGAGTCACCAGGGAGACAGTGGAATCTCCATCCTTACTGTCCAGCTGATTTAAACTCTAAATTATAGGCCAACGTGGGAATTCAGCAGAGTTGATCCTGCTGGGGAAAAGCAGGTAACCCAAGAGATTTCCAGAGTCTTTTGCCTTTCGTTTTCCTAGGGCAATAAAAGTCATAACCAAGTCATAATCCCACTTACCTCGCTTATCCACCACCTTACAGGGAGGCTGGCTTGAGAGAATAACGCAATCATCGGACTCACAGGTTGCAGAGGAACTGATTTCATCAACATCCTAGGAATTAAGAAAATTTTTTAGGGCAGAAAGAAAACCCCCCAGCTGATTAACTTCTCAGACACCAGTTCAAATCCCACACAGTTCAACTGACCAGCCCAACGAGCACTAATTGACATCACGAAGCATTACCAACCTGTATTTTCCAATAACAAAACGCAGTTTTAGCAGATTACCCATCTCACCATTATTAAAGTTACACTTGACTGCTGAATTTCAAAGTGTTGTACCCCAGCACTGAGGAAAAATTAATTTCCTGCAGGTTACTAGCAGCTTTGAGGTGCCCCATTGACATTTCTCATCCACCTGACCTTGACTACTGTTGATTCTCAATACCTGCATATGCTCCTGCCTTCCTTTTATTATGGGTTGTTGTTTTGGTTTGGGGTTCTTTTTTCTCCTTTTGTTCTTAAATAACTCTTAACTGTAGTATTTTTTCACCTGAGCATTTCTGGGACTCTGCTTCATGCTCTGACCATCTCATCTTCACAGCTTTTTGGAAGCCTCTCACAGAGGTTCTATAAAAATGAAAGTTTGCCAAACTGATTTTTGCCTTGAACTCTGCTCTTTTTGTGTGCGACTGTGTATTATTTCCCATCTCATCAGAAACCCCATGATGCCTGAGAACAGTTGGTGCCTGCAAGTTGAAGCCTGTAACAATTAGCGATCTATTATACCTTAAATATTTAGAAATCCTTTTACCAAACAATGTTTAACTTTGTATTTAACAAGGCCTGAGTGATTAAATTGTACAGAGAAAATATCCAGACCTTGAGAATAGATATGTCCTGGCAGAAATCAAACAAGGCAGATAAGAAAGAACATCTTGTCTGGACAACAGAATTGGGAAACATCCAAGGAGAAGAAATTGTCCTCAAAAGACTCGTGACCATAAAAGGGAAAAAGGAGTAGGGGGTAACTCCCCAAACGACCACCCAAGACCCCCACTCATGTGTAGCGTGATTTTGTAATGCCAGCACTATGTAAATGCAATAGATAGGCAGAAAGGTGGAGACTTCTTGGAAAACATATGAATATTTAAGGTATGTAAAGGGTAAGTTTTTGTTTTAGTGAATGTACGTTAGGTGGAATGATCCCCCGAGCACCCAGCGCTGCAGCACAGCCTGCCTGCCTTCTACAACTTCCAGCTGAGCCTTAGAGGGTTCTTTTGAGACCAAATTTACAGTAACACTTACTGGCTGTAGCAGAATCTGAGACCAGATCAAGGCCAAACTTGCTCTGTGTTCAGTAACAAGGTCACTGATTTCCCTTTTCAAACACTCTGAACCTCTGGTTAACCTCCAAGAAATAGCTTGCCACCACAAAAACCTGCCATCACAGCAGAATCAAATGCTTTCAAATTTTTTTATTTTTTTTTTTACTGCACGTGCAAGATTAGACAGCACAAGCTAACATTTGTGGTTTATTAGTGCTGCACTGTAAAAACATATTGACAATCAAGTCAGGAATGTGAGAGAGATACTAAAACAGTGCAGGTGAACAAAGGAGGCAATAAACTGTCTTTTATTGAACTGACACAGGAATATAGAACACATTAGCCCTATAAAAACAGCTTCTCGTCTTGCTCACTGCTTCCTTTCAGTGCCCAGTATAAAATACTACAGTAGTATTCCACTGGCTTTTCCTACTTTCCTGTATTTTAGATGCCAGAATGCAACAGCAAAATATGACATTAAAGTGTAACGAAATTTCTGGATTTGTATTTTGCAGCTGCACTCGTGCCGCTGTCACCCTCAGCTTTCACACCTAAACGCCAGGTTAGAAAGCAAAAATCCACAATCCCAAGCTAAATAATTCTCCAGCAAATCCTAACATTAAGAGCGAGGTCTGGCAGTTAGTAACTGGTTGGCACTAAGTGAGACTCACTGTAAAGTTTTAATTGGTCCAGTACAAGAATCAAATGTATGTTTTAAAAAAAAAAAACAACCCAAACCAACACTTTTCCAGCACCAGCAGCATTCACTGAGGCAGCTTCAGTGACACACAAAATGGTTACGGTTCCTCAAACAGCTCAGGAAACTCCTTGTTGGTTTGTTAAAGCTTGAGAAACGAAGGCTTAAGCCTTGCTTCCTTGGAGAAGGGAGCTGCAGAATGAGGACACGTGGTTCCTGCTGAGAAAATAATGGCTAAAAAGATAAGGCCAGACCAGCCCAAAGCTGGCTATTGCTGCTTGAATAACAGCACGGGCTGCAGCTGCAAGCAACATCTCGCGATCCAGGAGAAATCTCTAAATAAAGACACTCTAGAAATAATTTTGATTTTCCCAATTACTTCACTGGCTGAGAAAAAAAGAAACTGGCTTTCAGGAGCACAGCAGCAGGATGCTTGCAAAGCGGCTCCTTTCTCCAGCTTTGGTCAGGCAACGTTTGGAGTTATCTAGGGAGAACGGCCAGGATGTGGCTCACGACCTCCCACAAAACCCAGCCAGGTCAGGCTTGGCATTTGTTACATTTATTAAAACGAGAGGAAAAAAAAAAAAATAACGCTGAAAACCTGTTTTTTCAGCTTTGCCCTTTATCACACTGAAAAACAAATAAAATACAGATTGTCTTTTGGAAAAACACCACGCAGAAACTTTCCTTTCAGCCATCGTAAACGGAATATTTCACCGCAGCCGAGCGCGGCGACGCCGACAAAAACTTCCTGAAAAAGTTTACCCCAGTTTTATACCTTCGTCAGGCAGGAATCAATCTGTGAAAGTTTTCCTAGGCAAAAATCCACTAAGATATCCAAATAAACGCCCTGCGTTGGAATAACCAGAGCACGTGTTCCTTCCCACTTGCTCAGCGAGCTCTGTGTGCGTCACCCGAGCGCCTCCGCGGGTCCCGACGACACCCCCACTTACCACATTTTCTGCGTCACCGTCTCCTGCGGCTGCAGACTCAGAATTACCCGACGGGCCAGAGGTGCTGCTGCTTTCCTGCGGAGATGGTTTTCCTTCACGTGCCGAATCTCTCTCTTGATGTACGCAGCTCGTAAAGTCCTCCCTGTCTCCGTTTTCCTTCTTCCGAGGCGCAGGAATACCTCTCAATACACCACCCGCCTCAAGAATTTTGGTTTTATCAGCTGAATTAGGCTCTGGAGTTGTCAGTGGTCTGGGCTGATCGTTTTGCAGAGATCTAGGGAGAGATTTCATGTCTCCAACTGGTTTTTTAGAGTGCGATTTCTTCTGGGCAGAGAAGAACGCTGCTCCCAACTGGAGTTTCAGGGCTGGTTTAACTGTCATGCTGAGCACTCTGAAGGGTGAATCTATCTTCTTTTTAACCAGACAACTCACATTCTCTTTCTCCACACTGCCTTTTCCCGGTGGTACATTCCCCTTCTTCTTAAGCAGTTTGGGGTCTGGTTTACCATGCTTGGGGTTGGTTGCGTGCTTGGTCATCTTTAAGCCGGTATTCCTGCCCAAATTCCTGTTTCTTTTCTCAGTCTGGCTGGCAGCAGGGAGGTTTTCATCCCTGTTCCTCTCAGCCAGAGACCGCTTCTCGTTCAGTTGTTTCCTCTCAAGAGGAGTAAGGTATCGCTTTTCCTTGCTGTAAAAAGACACCACTGGCACAAGGGGTTTGTAGGAGGAAGCGGGTTTTGGGGATAATTTCCCTGAGAATTCCCTCTGCATGGCTGCAGGAGCACCGACTGCCTGACGGGGGGAAGCATCCAGCCCCCTCCACAGCGCCGGCATCACCGGGACAGCCTCAATTTCTTTCATCTCATCGCTGGAGCCGGGCGACCATTTCAATGGAGAAGCAAACCAATTATTTCTCAATTTCTTGGGTGGAGACAGACCTTTAGCAAAGCCCAGCATTTTTTTCCCGGGAGGTTCAAAGGCTAAGGATGAACTGTAAAAATAATCAGGGAGCAAACATCACATATACTGCTGAAAGCTTTTCAATTATTATTATGATTATGAAATACTATTAATAATCATAATACATTTATAATTATTTAAATTTTATATAAAAATAAAATGTCACTCAGCCTACTTGCCTGTCTCAAAGGCTAAGGATGAACTGTAAAAAGTAATCAGAGAGCAAACCTCACATATACTACTGAAAGCTTTCCAACTATTATTATTATAAAATAGTATTACTAATGATAATACATTTATAATTATTTAAATAATAATTATTTTACGTAAAATAACAATTTTCACTCAGCCTACTTGCCTGTCTCAAAGGCTAAGGATAAACTGTAAAAATAATCTGGGAGCAAACATCACATATACTGCTGAAAGCTTTTCAATTATTATAAAATATTATTAATAATGACAATACATTTATAATTCTTTAAATAATAATTATTTTACGTAAAATAACAATTTTCACTCAGCCTACCTGCCTGTCTCAAAGGTTAAGGATGAACTGTAAAAATAATCTGGGAGAAAACATCACATATACTGCTGAAAGCTAATAATTGAATAATATTTTAATAATTGAACAATTATTATTTTTATTATTGCAAAATGTTAGTAATAATTATATATTTATAATTATCAAAATGATTATTATTTTACATAAAATAACACTTTTCACTCAGCCTACTTGCCTGCACTGGTATATGCCCCATAACAAATACAAATATCAAACACCAAAATATAAAAATATCAAAGGCTTAAGACTGTCTTGCCACTCTCCATCTATATATATATATATATATTTTTTTTTTTAAATCTATTTTCCTGTCTGAACTTGTTATAGCTCCTGGGAACAAGAGTCATTCTGCTTTTTAGAAAGCTGCTGACAGATCAGCACTTTTCACGATTAAGGAAAAAAAAAAAAAAGTTTGATTTGTTTCAGACCAACTCTGTCAACTCAGATTTGTGCCCCTGAAAAAGCTCGTGCACCACCCCCGTATGGAAGACTGATAAAGCTGGAGGGGGGAATCTCAGAATATCTGACACCAGTTTCTGAAAGGGACACACTGAAATCTCACTGTCTATCAGAGTCTCACACCTCATCGGTAAATCACTAACAGCTTCTGAACCACTGCCTGAAGGAGGTAATAAATTGGTGTAAATTGGTTGTTAACGTATTTGGGGCACAACATAGTGAGGTGTTTCCTCCACGAGTATTTACACCCTGTCGCAGGAATTTGTCCTTCCAAATCAGAAACCAAATGCCACTCTTGGTCTCCACTCCCCGCCCCCAGACATATTTTTGTGGAGGAAGTATAGGACACGCATGTGAAAAATCTGTTCAACTGGTAGAGGTATGAAAGAATGAGAAAAAAGCTGTTGTTTTGGAATTAAAACTCAGCTTTTTGTTCACGGCCTATGCCTTCTCCTCCAATCCTTAGTGAAAAACAAATAATCCCATAAATTTTTCAGCTCTACACAACACAGGAACTGTTTTTCTCTTACCACTAGAATACTCAGATAATTTGTGCAGACCTCAGTATTTCTGTGCTGTATATCAAAGTCTTTCCAAGCGAGAAAGACTGAGGCTTTACCACAAAGAAATGCAAACATCAGGGAGTTTATTTCCTAAATTTCTAAACAATCAGGTTTTAAGTTTCTGCCGGTTTTGTGACCTACTCAGGGTTAGGTCTGTGTGTGAGTGTCAGGGACAGGGATACGCACTTGACACGTGACTGTCAAAACAAGATACTTTAATAGAAGAAAAAAAAAAAAGCCCTAATGCAAACTACACATGTGGGCCTGCAAAGTACCAGCTCAGTGTGACAACTCTGTTCACTTCTAATTCTGTGCTACGCTAGAGATTAAAGAACATTTTTAGCTTTGATTTCCCTATACATTACCTGAAATCTCTCAAGATGCTCAGTCCAGTATAAAATAAGTCACTGAACAACAAACGTAGGGTGATGCTACTGCATCTCAGATCCACCTTAATATTTTTCCACTCCAGGTTAAAAACTCAAGGGTTTTAAATACCTATTTTATTCTGCGTGCAGCGATTGTTTTTATTAGGGTAAAAGAAATCTATGAAAAGTTAACATACCCATTGGTATCAGTAGAATTGTGATGCCTTTTCTGTGGGGTAAGAGCTGCCATGTCTTCACCAGAGCGCCTGCAAGAACACATTTTTAATAGCTTGAAATAGATTTCCAGTAACAAGCCAAAACTAAATAAAAAAAAACACTTAGTAAAGAAAGAGGAGGTGAGGAGCTGGGAAGCAAACACAGAATGGCAGCAGTTCAGGCATGACAAGCTGAACAACACAGGGCTGTTTCAGTTGAGCACAAATCGTAAAACAAGTGCAGACAGACTCACAGAATCACTCAGGTTGGAAAAGCCCCTCGGGATCAGCGAGTCCAACCCCCAGCCCGACTCTACACAGTTCTCCCCTACCCCACATCCCCCACAGCTCATCCCAACGGCCCTGAAACCCCCCCAGGGATGGGGACTCCCCCCTCCCTGGGCAGCCTGTTCCACTCTCGCACCACTCTTGCTGGGAAACATTTTCTCCTCCTGCCCAGCCTGACCCTCCCCTGGGGCAGTTTCCAGCCGTTCCCTCTTGTCCTGTCCCTGATCCCCTGGGAGCAGAGCCCAGCCCCAGCCTCTCTGCAATGTCCTGTCAGGAGCTGCAGAGAGGGATGAGGGCTCCCCTCAGCCTCCTCCTCCTCACACTGCACACTCCCAGCTCCTTCCCTGGCTCCTCACAGGATTGATTCTCCAGCCCTTCCCCAGCCTCGCTGCCCTCCTCTGCCCTCGCTCCAGCCCCTCCAGATCTCTCTGGGATTGAGGTGCCCAGACCTGGACACAACCCTCCAGGTGTGGCCTCACCAGTGCCGAGCACAGGGGACTGTCACCTCCCTGCTCCTGCTGCTCACACTAGTTCCAATCCAAGCCAGGAGGCCGTTGGCTTTCTTGCCCACCCAGGCACACTGCTGGCTCCTGTCCAGCTGCTGGTCAGTGAGAACCCCCAGACCCTTCTCTCCCAGACAGCTCCAGCCACCCCTCCCCGAGCCTGTAGGCCAAGTCTAATTCTCTCATCACAGACAAACGCACCCTAAAGTCCCTTTTCTAAAATGGAGTCAGATAATCCAGAAACGAGTTTTACTTTCCACCCCTCGCACTCCTCTCACAAAGCTCATTCCAGACCTCACTGACATTGTTCCTAGAAACCTGTTTTCTCCTGGCCTATACCCATGGCCAGTTTATTCCTGTGAGGATTTCACATTGGCGTTTACCTTCCCACCGAGGCAGCTCCTTACCCAGAAGGCTGTTAGAGTTTCTCTCCCAGCTCCCATCTTTCCAAATACCAAAATCCACGCTTACTTAGCCTTTGTTAACCCCGCAGCCATTTAAACTAGTTCAACACTCAAAACTGTTTGTTCCATCTCTTCCAGTTTGAGGTAGTTATGGTACAATATTCACTTTTCTGCTATGTGATGTTTCACCACTGAAACCCCAGAATAAACAAATACCCCGTATCCAAGAAAACTAATAATAAATATTCATAAACTGTTAGAAATAACTATTTATTCAATAATCTGCCAGCAGGGGGAAGATCCTTCCTAACCCTCCAGCGTTCATGCACTGCTGATTTTGGGGAAGCAGTGACTGATAACAGCCCAGACACGACAAGCTGTTGTCAAGCCCAGGATCACCAAAGGACACAAATGGGGGCAGAGGATTGAGCCAGGAGATGCACAACCTCAGCACAGAGCAGTGCTGGCAGAAGGGAACTTCAGGAGAGGACAGGCAATGCCTTAGAAGCACAGGGCAAGAGTAACAAGCCTGCAGGTACTGAGAAATGAGCTATATCAGGTGCAGGTGAAAGGGAGGAGATAAGACAAGGACACACTCTTGGCAGGCGTGTGCGTGGGGCCAGTGGGCCTTCTAGTTTGTACTATTAACGTGAGGAGCCCACAGACAGTTCCCTGCACAGCAGCTCTCCACTGCCGGCCCCCAACCTTCACACCCCTTCCCAAAGTGTTCACAGCCCAGTTCCCAGCCAAGCCCTCACCTCAGTATTGTGTCAGACCTTCACCCCAGCACCCCACAGCCACCCTGCATCCTACTGGGCCACTAGCTCCCACACCTCCCCCAGGCCCTAACCAAAGGGCCTAACCCTAACAGACACCCCCAGAAGCCCCCTCC